AAATATTTCTTTTTGATCGTACTCGAGTGATAATTCATATTGTCGTTCCTCTCTACAGCTTTTTCTATCTTTCTAAAAAGAAATGAAAGGACTGTCTTTTTTTGCCATTTGAACCAAATTCATTTCGAATCGGCCGCATGTCAGTTCTCCTGAATTTTTGACACGACTCTCATTTTTCTATTAACTATGTGATACGAATTGCTAAATAAGATGATCATACACACAGAATAAGAAAGCCAATAAAGAGTCATTCCCCAACTTGCAGCTTCAGTTGATAGATTGAATTTATCAAATTTGAGATAAGAAAAAAAGAATTTTGAAAATGTTTGATAATTTCCTCCCATAAAAAATGTATAAAGAATGAATATTGTTGAAAGAGTTAAACCATATTGAAAAAATCCACGACCACATGTACGAGGAGAATATGGAGAAGAATTTTCTTTATTCACTGAAGGATTAACATTATCTGGCTTCGTGCTTACAGCAGCATAGTCAACCTAAAATTAAACGCATTACATTTATTAATTAATTCAATTTTTTCTCTTTGATTTATTATTACCTGTTGTACTTGTAAGTTTTGTCTTCCATTTCTTAGTTCTGAAACATAAAAAAAGATATGTCCAACAGCAATTAAAAAACATAAAATTGCAGTGATTGAATATGGAATAATAATATTTGGATTAACTTTTGTTGCATTTGCTATGGACGATGTTGAATTAATTCCTTCATTATTTGTAACATTGATCGATAAAACTTCTTGAGTAATAAACGGACGAACAAGTAAATTAATAAAAACAGCACCAAGTCCATATCCTAAATGAACTGAATTTAATGGTGGTGCAGCATTGACACCCCACATTCTCAATAAGAGATTATTTCCACCTACATATTTATTCAAATTTAATTTGTTTCAATAAAAAATTTGAAAATGTTGACTTACCTAAATCTGTAAAACCTTTGGAAAGTCCTTGAGTAAAAGATACAACACACATTAATATCAATGATGTGACAAATGGAGTAGCAAAAACCACTAAAAAGAAAGAAATTTTAAAAATATTTTTATTTGTTATGAAAATATTTTACCAATAGCAGGTAAAATAAATGCACAAAACAGAAGACCTTCTGAATGGTTTTTGACAATAGTTTGCAAAATAGCACCAAGAAGATTAGCAATTAAATATCCGGCACTTCTCGATGCAAGCACCGAACCCATACCACTATACGTAACTTTGATATTGGCTGCAAGAATTGGCATTGTTGGACCAATCAATTCAAGATGAAAACCCTTAAATATGAAATAATTTGTTCTTTTTTTACTGATGCTTTCTACAATGAAAATCGTTTATAGAAGTATGAAATTTACCAACATAATCCATGTAAGAATAAGATATCCACTTTTAATTAAATTCCATGGATGACTTAAATAAATTTGTATACCAGATGGAATTTCTGACGTGGATTCTCTTGCCATTTATTATTTAACTATAACATGATAGATAGTTTAGTTTACAATAGATTTAAATCTTTACCTTTTTCTATCGTTAAATAAATATTTATTTTCGTTTGATCAATGAACATTGAAAACCTAAAAGTGAATATATTTATTATCATTATATTAATTCGAATAGTTTCGGTATAAAATAACGTATTTCAAAACAATGTTACATTAGTCACTGGTAAAGAAAAACATCATTACAGAGTAAGTGACGTATATTTATTCAAGATAAAGTAACGCGCACATCGTTTGCATACTTTTGTAAGTAGCTCTTCATTTCATTTCAGCGCGGGTATTGAAGAGATCTTCTAGTAAATCAACATCATTGTAGAGTTGTTTTTCATTGTCATAACTAGGTATGACAATACCCATGAGAAGGAAGATGATGATGATTGAGGATTGTATATCGTTGAAAAACTATACAAAATTTTTTTCGAACACTTTTTACAAGCCATATAAAAAGATAGTCTTGATTTATAATGTTAAGATTAGTTTAAAGCAATAGAGAAGACTTTGAGCTATCGATTGGTGACAAAAATCACCACAAACAAAGTAACAATTGCTCAAAAGTTCGATTTTAGAAAATATGTACAAAATAGCTGAGATTATACATTTAACCCATTTGAGGTAAATATATAATCGAAAAGTAGTGCTCAAAGAACACCTTTAAATAGATGTCAATACAAGATTTTGAGAAGCGGCTTTCACCAATCGATAGAATATGTCGCCAGCTAGGTATCTTGGAAAGAAAATTTTTTTAAAAAATGAAAAATAAAAAAAGTTTATAAATTATTATACTGAAGATCACTAATTTTTGTTCTACATTCACTCCGTCTTACTCGATATGAATTGAAAAAAAGCGAGCTTGAAAATCACTATCTCTTTTTAAATATATTTACCTAAAGATGATGATTTTTCATTTTCAAGGTCGAAAAGGCATCTATTATACTTGATATTATGGAAAAAAGAGTTGTATACCCCTATTGATACAAATGAGGGCTTGCGATAATTGTCTCCAGCTATTATGTTGAAAAAAGGAGAAACTCTTATTTTTGACCCTCATTATTACTCCCTCTAATTTTGTATTTGCTTGCATGTTTTCCTCTTTTTACTCTTCTACGACCGGCACCAGTGAGATAGGATTTCAATAAAAGATGACGCATCCAATCGTCAGATAGAAAACGAATAATATATTTATGCGGCTGTCAAAGAAAATGTACAGACTTTGTTTTAATACTGCATTCTATGTACCAAATTAATGTGTTTCACAGTGATCACTCAGCTCGACTATTACCTTCAGAAGAAAAAAAAACAGGACGACTAAAAAGTAATCTATACGCACACACTAAGATAAAATATGTTACATGTGTCGTACTTTGCGAGACATTTCTTTCAGCGGACCAACACCACGTTCTGAGTGTGGGTGTGAGTGTGATTGCGTGTCGGTGTGGGTTCTAGTCATCTCTAAAAAGAACCCGCACTCGTCAAGTAACACGAGACTAACAGAAATCATTCTTGTGACTCTTGTTTGAATGAAACGAAGCCATTTGAGATTCAATCTTTCGAAGATACAACTAATCCGATATCACTACTGCTCACGCAGAACTGTTGCTTCCAGCCCAAGCTGCTTTCAAAGTTTTACACATTATTTACACTAATTTGAGTACTACTGTTCTGCGACCAGTGGAAACAGATTAGGTACCTGTGAATTCTTCATATGCGAACAACGCTTAGTAGGTTCTCGATCTATCAACAGCTAGGTAAGCAATGTACATGAAAGAACATCAAAGAATAGTAGTATAAATATAAACATCCACTACAACTCTTACTATAGATAGCATATTATAGTTCATCAAGTCACCCAAAAGATGGAGTACTACCTTTATTTTTAATTATCTAATCATTATAAATAGTGTTGCTTCTTTTTCGGCTACGAAAACAATCTTTATTCGCTGACGATTTTTGGTCGATTTCTTTGGCGTGAATAACAATATCTTGTGTCTTCAGCTTAACATTTCCGTCATAGATTGTTTCTAACATTTCTATTTGTCTACTAAACGAATGACATACTTCCAAAACTTTTTGTGCGACTATGTTGACACTGTTCGCCATATCTTGATGAGATCTTTCGATAAATACGCAGTCCTCAGTGAATTATTGTCCTTCAACACAATAATCCCTATTTGATAGCTTCATTCAATACACTATCACCACTGTCATAGAAATTTTGCAGCTATTCTGAGAGCGAAACGTACTTTTTTGCGTTCTCTCACAAACACTATGCTGCCGTTCTATGATTTAGACAACAATTATGATAAGTATATAATCTCGAGTGGATTATTATACGTTATCACAAAATCACTCGATGACAAGGATTTTATTATCTGTAGAATCAACAATCACATGAGAGTTATCCACATGCACACCAACCCACACGCTTATGTTTCTTGAAAAAACTTAGTTTTATTGATAGAATTTCATTACGTCAAGAAAGCATTAACAAAAGGATTAAATATTGATACAGTTTCAATTATATCAAGACATTCAAGTGAAACAGTAGTTAAAAAAGCATGTGAAGAAGAGGAAAATATATCTACTGATGAAAGTGGAGATACTGAATAGTGCTGTTCTTTGTTTTCGCAATAATCACTTGTAAAAGTTAATCTGGTATAAATGGTATTTTTTTGTATTTTTCTATTTTTCTATTTGATGTTAAACAGCTATTTGATTAAACCTTCTTGTTAAAAAGAAGCTACAATTGTGAAAAATAAATGTTGCACAAGAAAAGAATGTAATCGAGTCTTCGAAATTAGATACAGATCTCTAGCTGAAACTTTGAAGATTTATCCACTCGTTGTGGTCAACTATTGTTCAAAATATCAGAATTAGAAAGTTTGTCTTTCGTACAAAAGAGAAAAATAATGTAAAAATGTCACATGAGATTTTCTTAAGAAAATGTCAATCGAGATTATTATATACATAAGTGCCCCACAACTAAAGCCAAAATAAATACATTTTAGATCAATTGATTTCATATATAAAGGGCTATCAAGAGCCATGTGAGTTAATACTAGATTGTGTCTCACAAGTTAATAAATTCACAGAAAAAAGATAACTAACTATATATATATCTTCTCTAGCTGACTGTATATTTGTAAAATTATCACTTTGTAAGTGTAAAAACCAAATATAATTTAGAACCAATAATGCTATTTTGGATCCTAACTCTGGATTAAACATGACTCTTCATTACAAAGACAAGACTCAACGTTAAAATCTAAAATACCACAGAAAAATTCTCATATCTCTGCCAATTTGATAGTGGTACTCGAGAAAATTTATTCCTATTCTCCTTTCATGTACTAACATAAAATGCGCTATTCACCGTTTTAAAAATTGAAAATTTTTTTGTCTACTTTTTTCATAGAACGGTTCAATAATTTTGCAGTTCACATACATATATATATCAAAGTACAGCTTCATATCAGTATAGAAACCGACAACGATGATAACAGTTAGTTTTAATATACTTTTGATTGTATTTGTGATTGTGATATTGTTGGCTGAGACAGATGCATCACATATAAATGTTACTGTGTCAGGTATATCTGCTGGTGCTGCTATGGCTGTTCAATTCCATATGGCATACTCAAAGGAAATCAGTGGCTGTGGTATTTTAGCTGGACCACCGTATCTATGTGCTGGCAACGTTACAGGTATTACTAAATGTATGAAGGGCCCAGTTGAAAATATTTCTGCTCTTAGCATTTTATTGAAACTTGAATCCTATACATCAGCTGGGTACATTGATAGTCTTTCAAATATTGAAAATGAATCTGTATATATCTTTTCTGGTACAAAGGATTTAGTAACCCTGCCTAGTATCGTCAAGTTGAATGAGAAAATTTATTCCGTATTGGGTGCTAATATCAAGACTAATTATGACTTGCCAGCAACACATGGTTTTCCAACAGATAATTTTGGTGAAAGTTGTGATGTATTAAATACAAAGAATTTTATCAATAATTGGTCAGTTAAAAGCATTTACTGATCATTTTTGATTCTTATTTGAGACTTTGTTTTTGTTTTTTAGTGGTTTCAATATGGCTTATGATATGTTGAATCATCTCCATGGTGGTCAGCTAATTGCAGCTAAATCGAACTCTGCAACTCCTCTTGTTGGACAAATGATTGTATTTCAACAAGCAAACTTCCAGAATCCTCCTCCATCTTTAGCTCTAGGTGATATATCGAGTATTTCTGTCTTAAAATGGATCTCAGAAACAATGTTCTTATACAATCCGATCAAATGGGGTTGGCCAACATCAGGTCTTTTCAATTTGACCATGCCTAGTATCACAGTACCTTTCGAAGGGCAACAAGTTAACACGCGTAGTTTTTCATTCGGCTTCGATGAACATGGATTCGTGTACTTTCCATCTGCTTGCACCAAAGGCAAAAGGTGCTCAATCCATGTTGCTCTGCATGGATGTCGACAAGGTTCTGATTCATATTCTTAAAATTTCCTTTTTCTTGAATACTTTGTTTTTACTTACAGGAAAATGGTTTATAGGCGATACATTCATAATTAAGACCGGCTACTTGGAAGTTGCCGAACTCAATAATTTGATTGTGCTCTTTCCTCAAATCACTCCGACAGCAGATTCTCCAATAAATCCAATAGGTTGTTGGGATTGGTGGGGAGCCACTACACCACATTACACCATCAAAGCTGCTCCACAAATGTTCAGTGTAAAACAAATGATCGAGACTATACGCATGATAAATGGAGCTATTGCTACATCTGCTGAGCAATAAATAACTTTTGTCTGATGCCAATAACGCTTCAAATAAATGAGCTTAACTGAAACGATTTGTCTTTGTTTAGATACCATTAGTAAGCATGTATTTGTTCAATTTCTTGAAAACATCATAGAAATGTCTGTGTTAACTTAGGGTGTGGGCGAAGAAGAGTCTCAAAAAAGAAGACACCCACACTCACCCTCGATTTTTCGAGCTTTGATTACACGTGTCACTTTCTGATTTCGTTCCTAGAAACGCGAACGAGTTTTTAGACTCATCTCCCTAGTACCTCGGAAACAGTGTTTCCAACAGCAACGATCTACCATGATGACAAAGTATCCAGGATCCTTGCGATGTTCGATTGACACTCTATTTTACACTTTGCTCATGAAAACAAAATGTCAAGCAGATACTTGCTGAGAATAATTTGCACTTTGCTTTTCATGGTATGCAACCTTCCAACTTCAAAATTTCGTGATAATAGTGATGTAGTCAATATCCTAACATCTTCTAGTTAATCGTTGAGCTTGTTAGAACACTTCTCTGTCCTTCAATTGTTGTTGCTCTTTCATATTTAAGACAGGTTTTAGACAACTTATGTCAATGCTTTTTTCATCACCGTTGATTGAGAAAAGTAGAATTCACAGCAATAAAACTAATTCATGCATTTCCCTTTTATTATTGGATGCTAGTTTAGTTTA